TTTTTAAAAAGAGATAACAACATCCCTTATATATTATCTGTCATAGTTTGGAGCAGATTTTAAGTTAGAGTACCGGTATATAAATGATAAAACTATAGATAATTGTACTCATTATATATTTTTTAACCTATTGAAGAGTACTACAAATGAGTGTGCTATAAATTTTAATGCATAATTCAGAAATGATTTCAATTGTAAAGGAATGTTGACAAAAATGTACCCAGCTATAAAGATTTGATAGAGCTGGAAAAGATATCTAGAGACTAGAAGCCTTGGAAAGTAATAGTTAATGTCCTATGCTCCACTGGCAGTTATCAGACAGACAAGAAGTCTACTTAAATTTCTCCTTTCTAACTACTGGTATCTCAAAACTTTTCAAACAATACTTCAAACTGATAATTAAATGAGTCAAAAAATTATATTGATTATAGTTTTCTTCATTGTTTTTTATTGATGAATATGGAGTAGAACATAACTATACTTGTAAAATTGACAGTATTCTTCAGAAATGGGAGCTATTTTCTGTGATTATATCTCAATTGAAGGGTGTCGATTTAAATATATGTATTGTATTTAAAGTCACATGCTTCAACATACACAAGAAGAAAAATAGAAGTATATAATATAACTCTAACCGAATAATAGGCCTACTAAGTCAACTAAGTTTTATGTTTCTCTGTGGAAATATTTAAAAAGTAGACCTAAGGGGTCGCCACAGAGAAACAATTTCATAATTGACCTAAAGTAAATAAGGAAATTTAATAATGAAAAAGTTGAACACTTTAATTTTAATTTCATTATGGAGCATCCATTGCTATGATAGCACCGGAGGGGGTGTGGGGGGGGGGGGTCGGGTCGTTTGGTGTTGATTTTGGAAAATTTAATTCTAATTGTTATTTTTAATTAGAGATCTAGAGCTCTGGGGCAATATTTTCCTTGCCAGGAGCTCTAGCTGGTAAAATTTCTCACTGATCCGGGATCCAGTTTAAATGACAGTAAATATTTCTTGAAACACTCAACATCCCTTCCACTCCTTTTAACTTTGTCGGACCTGAGCTTGAGCTGAAAAAAAATTATCCAGAGTGGAGTGCGTCAAAAAAAAAAAAAAAAAAAAGCTCCTAAACCATTTTTGACGGACGTAAATAAACTTTATTAATGTTTTTATTTGTGTTTATTACTTAGTACTAAAATAAAACAAAAAGATACTAGTCGGCACTCAAGATAGTTGACGCAGTTGTGTGGAGTGGAATTCCCAGAGTTCGGCGTGTTCCCCCTCGACCAAGAGCAACGGTGAAAAGAAAATTAATTAACATTTTACCATGCGCCAAATAACACTTGATTTATTTTAAATTATTTTCATATAAACAAGCATAGGCCAATGCGACCATTTAGCAATGCACACGCTATAAGAAGTCCACATGATTGCACATAAGTGCTGGGTGAACTGCCTTCACTAAACGGGTTTCTTTAAAAAAAAAATGAATACTTTGATATGGGTTTTAATGTTTAAATTAAGTAACCATAAACTGAAAATATACGGAATTTTACATTGAATTGTTGTTCTTTTTTTAAAGATAATGCACGCATTGCGATGTAAAATTGGGGTTGGGAATAAGAATATTAATTATAGTTCATGGGGGTGAAAAAAATTGTGCGACGGTGTATGTAAGGGAGCTACTATTCTCGGGGATGATTTTGCTCATGTTTATTAAAAACTTATTAAAATATGCGTGGGAGGTGGGTGGGGGGGAGCGAAAAAGTGTAATTTTTTAAAAATATTCCTCAGGCAGCACAATGATACGCCTCAGAATGGGTGGGTGCATTTGATAAATAATTTAATCTTGTTAGGTAAATACAGTTCACGTGTGAGGGGGGGGGGTGGGGTAGGATGCATACATATTGATATGGATGAAAATTTTCTTTAAATCCAATGTTTTTAGAGTGTCGAAAAAAAGGTGTTTTAGATGTTCCTTTACAAGTCACACAATACTTTATACCGATGTCAAAAATAACAGTACAGGTTCGTTGACGCATTGCGGTCTGCGGGCTCAGTTCCATAAGTGTACCCATGCCTAAAGACTTAATCCGGGCTCAGTTCCATAAGTGTACCCATGCCTAAAGACTTAATCGGGGCTCCGTTCCATAAGTGTACCCATGCCTAAAGACTCAATGTAGGCTCCGTTCCATAAGTGTACCCATGCCTAAAGACTCAATGTAGGCTCCGTTCCATAAGTGTACCCATGCCTAAAGACTCAATGTAGGCTCCGTCCCATAAGTGTACCCATGCCTAAAGACTCATTATTTCTTTATCTTAAAATTATTTTTGACCATTTTTTAAATTGATTTTGTTAATTTTCCTAGTTTTCAGGTTCAAAACTCTGGGTAGGGAGAGGGTCAAATCCTGGTTCCAATAGGGTCAAAACTCTCATCTACTACACCCTCTAGTTCTGATTGTTATTTTTCAAGTGCTTCCAACAACAACAAAAAATTAAAACAACTTTTTGAAATCCTAACTAATGGATATAGAACTGTCAAAGAGAAATGGCGATGTTAGTAGTGTTTCAAATTGTGAATCGTTTTTTTTTTTTTTAAATCAGTGTGATTGCCCGGCAATCGCTTGACATTTCCGTCAAAGTGCTAAGAGAGTTTAAAAGGTAATGGAGTTTTACCTGATGAGAGAAATACCTTGAGAGTAAGCTTGATACATTATTATAACTGTACCGCTGGTAATATGCTCGTCTTGAAATTGTTCAATGGGGTCATTGAGCTTCTTAGCTCTAGTTTATTGAAGAGAGATGGAAGTAAACAATGCATTAAGAAATCAGACATTACAGAAAAATAAGAATTAGTCAGAAATGTTTCTGGTAATTCGATTACTTTATTTTTATAAAAATTGGTTTAAATATATAGATATATATATATATATATATATATATAAAACACAATCAATTTTGAACAATTATTTTTCCAGAATTAAAAAATTATGATGACGTATCGATATCAAATTAAATTTTTAACAAAAACAAGAAGAGTCATACAAATATAAAAGTTCAATAAACTTTCTAAATTGTTTATAAAGCTGCACGAGTGGAACGAACAATTTTGACAATTATTTCAAATCTCAAATCACATTTCTACACAAATTACCATTGCACAAAACATTGAATTGAAAAGAACAGCAGAGATGTTAAAATTAAAAGAAAACGACTAGAAAATCGGCCTGAGATCTTCGAAAAGCATGATCATGGAATGTCGCTTTGGAGTACGTGGAAATATTCACGGGTTTGGAGTGTAATTAATTTAATGTACACAATTTCATAGATATTTATTTAGCTATGACAAATGGAAGTACAATTGTGTACTTTTCAATTCCAACTATGTCTTGCATTCATAATATTTTTTTTTATCCCTTTTCTCCACGAAATTATATTTACTTAAAAATATAAAAGCCTCCATTCAAAATTTCCATTCACTCGATCATATCTCACTATCAATGGGATGAGGAAATGTCGTAAAAATTGCGACTAAGTTTTCAAACCATTCTACTGTAAATTGTATGTTTACCCGTATGTTAATTAATTTTGTTGTTTCGCTATTCTTAAACTCCGCCCGTGTAAACTTTGATTCTGCTCATCATGTTTAGAAATTTATGCAGGTCGATGGTCTTTGAGTCCCCTGCTGTCGTCTGAAGAAACGTGACTATCTCGTCCTCGGTCAGCTTGCCCTTCCCACTGTCCACGTGTGTCAGTGCGTCGAAGGTTTTCCCAATGTCCACATAACCAGTGGCAGGCTCCTCCAGTTTGTGAAAAAGTTGAATCATTTCATTGGCCCTGTGGGTAACAAGTAAGGTGGTTAGAGTTAATGGGGAGATGGAAGGCATTTCATGAGCCCTGAGGGTAACAAGTAAGATGGTTAGACTTAATGGGGAGATGGAAGGCATTTCATGAGCCCTGAGGGTAACAAATAAGATGGTTAGACTTAATGGGGAGATGGAAGGCATTTCATGAGCCCTGAGGGTAACAAGTAAGGTGGTTAGACTTAATGGGGAGATGGAAGGCATTTCATGAGCCCTGAGGGTAACAAGTAAGGTGGTAGAGTTAATGGGGAGATGGAAGGCATTTCATTGGCCCTGAGGGTAACAAGTAAGGCTGTTGGATTGGATGGGGGAAATGGAAGGAATATCAAAATAAATGGTTAAATTCTTTGGAGAGAGTCAAATCTGGGTTATGTAAATGCGTTTTAAAAAACCTCTCTTCTTTACTGCAGACATCCAGTTGCTTGTGGTAAGCAAGACGGAAAAACGTAAGCCAAATTTGTTAATCACAGTCCAGTTAAATCTCACTTCAAAGTTTCAAACAAAGTTAAAGAACATTTCTGAGGTTCCTCAGTGTCCACCTTAGACAAAGAAAAGGCAAAATGCTGAAAGAACTTTATTTCATCAATAATTTAGGTCTTAAGGAAAACATCATAAGGTCATACCATCTTTATAGACAACCTTCAAAGACAAGCATAAATATCAATAGGTATTGTAGACAATGCAGTTCTCTTTTCATTTCAAACTTCTAAAAGAATTGCCGAAACTCCCATATAACTATCAAATTATCCAAGTGTTGGCAAGCAATGAAAAGCATGCAAGATGTTGCACCATGAGCTTATTTTCTAATACGGCATTGAGAAGACCAAACACAAAACAATTGAGGACTTTTCAAAACGTTTTAAGGTAGAGTTATAACTTGTAAGTTGTTGGCATTTGACACGCTGAATGAATTATAAATCCTACAGTGAACATATTAAGTTGTTGGCATTTGACACGCTGAATGAATTATAAATCCTACAGTGAACATATTAAGTTGTTGGCAGTTGACACGCTGAATGAATTATAAATCCTACAGTGAACATATTAAGTTGTTGGCAGTTGACACGCTGAATGAATTATAAATCCTACAGTGAACATGTTTAACAAATTTAATTTCCTATCCTTATGGTAGACATTTCAGTACTTACTTTGTCCCGACTGTCTGGTTGAACTGCCGGAACTCCCAGAGGCTCAACACTTCGTTTTGGTCCTTGTCGAAGATTTGGAAGAAAATTTGAGCCTCGATTTCATTCAGGGCGAACTCATTCATAAGCATGGCCAAAGCTTCCGGTTTCTTCAGTCGCCTGGCAACGCCGGTCTGATATTTGCTAAACATGGCAACAACTTCATGGGGGGGGGGGGGGGGGCAAACAAAAAACATATTTATAATGGATTATCATACGTTTTAAAACTCGATAATAAATTAAAAATATTACCCGCTCATTGACATGGGAAGCTTTGGTAGAAAAAAAAGGGGGAGGGCGCAGGTACATCACGGCGGCACTATTTTCTTCATGTTCATGGGTGGCATTTTTTGCCAACTTCAGATTTATTTTCTTAAAATTGGGCTGGTAATGAACTTTGTCCACCCTGGGTGGCTCCAACATTAAATGCGGCACTAACTGCGTTTCTTTTCTTCTAGAGTCATGCATGATGCGATTATCTTAGATTTTAAAGTTGGCAAGCAACATATGTCGAACATGTTTATGTAATAATCTTCATGGATGGCAACAAATATAAAAATACACTTTAGTAAACTTGCACCTTTTTAAATATTTAAATCTCAAATAAACTAAATATTACCTATATTACCCATATAACCAAATTCCATAACTACAAAATCCTATAGGTATTTTTCTAAAGCCAAATGAGAAAACAATGAGAATTTTTTTTAAAAATACAACCCCACAAAAATGTACGAGATAAATATAGCAATTGAAATACACGTTGTTAACAAAATCATTGTCAATGTCAGTCAAGTCCACTCAACAATCTGATAGAATCAACAGGATTTAACAAATACAATGAGTTGACTCACTCGCAGTCAGGGTCAATCACAATCCGTCCACAGGAGCAGGTTGAAGGCAGTCCAGCGGCGGCACAGCACATCGGCATCTTAAGTTTTCGTTATTCTGATATCAACACAACTAGAAAATTAGATTTACCACCAAAACGTCGCAGGAACGTGATGAGAGCTAACAACTTGTAATTGCTTTAAGTTGGATAAAAAGTTTCTTTCAACTTAATGCAATGATGTGGAGTCTTTAACAATAGATGAGAAATGTAAAGAAAATGTTCTTTACGGAAGTTAGCAATTGATTCTGCTTTGGTTTTAGGATCAAGAAATCGTGAGCACTTTGTCAGTGTACTGATACCAAACTGTGGAGTTCCCTGCTATATATATATACTCTCAAATGGCTCATCACTCCATGTCTATGAATAGGTGTGATGTCATCTCTGCTTCCATTCTGGGACGGTGAGTCAGCTACCTGGTGTTGTCTGTACGTACGTGGGCTGCGGGTGAGCATTGCATCCAGCGGCGGGTAAAAAAAACATAATGGGGGTGCCGTGAAGTGCAAGAGTATTGATTACCAATTTTAAACTGTATGAAGGATAATCTTTTCTTAATCTCTAAAAACATGATGATAATTTAATTTATGTAACATCTTAGTAATGTTTTTTAATGCGGTTTCTATCAACATGAACTTTGTTCCCACCGCTCTGAAAACGCCTCTGAAGCTGAATCTCTGATATTACTCATATGAGACAGGTAAAAACAATTGGGGTCATGCAGGGTTAGAACTTTCATTATTTGTGATGTGCAGGAGAGAGGTAGGTTGGGCATTAATGTGTCTTTCATTAAGCGAAAATATCCTCCTTTGCCATCACTACCCCCTCCCAAACTCACACACACATCACCGAATGTGTTCTCTGAATGGTCACGTTGAGAAGATGATATGGTCGAAAATTGCTAAGCTCTCTTACGTTTGAGATATCATCGATTGGCCAGTTGCTAACATTGAAATAAGGCAACAAACATTTCCATAGGGCAAACTTCTCACGGTTTGGGGGGGGGGAGCAGAGTTTTTGTCTTATGTTCAAAATAAAAGAAAGAACTTTGTCCTGCCACTAGTAGAAAATATCAGATTTGCGGAAAACGTGTGTGTGGGGGGGTGGGGGTGGAATTGTTGTTCTGCGTATTTGTCCCGGCTAGCAGAGCATCTAAACACAGTTAATTAGGGCTCTAACTTCGTCATCATAACTTTTAGTAAAGATTGAAATCCCTCAGCCCCATGGGCAAATTTTGACTTTTACACATGTCAATATTGAAGATATTAATATATGAAACAAATTAAGGAAAAGTTCTTAAAAGTCTAGTACCCTGAGTGTTGGGAGTAATGAAGCTAAATTCCAAAGATCAGGCATATGGTGAAGGGGTACACCTTAATAAAAATCAATTTAGCCACACACCATCCTGGTTTTTTAACAAAATTTTTTTTTAAATTTTTAAAAATTAAATAGAAAATATCAAGTTAATTTGAGTTCATATTTTGTACTGATTTTTAATTAATTTATGTCAGGCGATTTGTATGTCTTTTATTTTTAAATATGTTAATAGATATGTCTTTGACACTTTTTCGAGGGTCTGTCATCAACCTTTTATCGTGCACTCTACAGGTTTAACATGAATCAGGGTTGTTCTCAAAGTTTTAACTGTTGCTTGATGGTGACATGCATTCACCATAACGTGACATGCATTCACCATATTGTGACATGCGTTCATAACGTGACATGCATTCACCATAACGTGACATGCATTCACCATATTGTGACATGCGTTCATAACGTGACATGCATTCACCATAACGTGACATGCATTCACCATAACATGGGAGGCGGGGGGCTAAGGCGTTTGATCTATCGCTTTGTTCATTTTGGCTTTTATGTTACCGAGTGTTACTTACTGCTGTTTATAAGGAGAAATTAATTTTTAATTTAATGGCTCATTCTTAACAGTGCATAACAAAAGACGACACCACATGAGAAATACAATAGCAAAAGAAATATGACACTCAAAGCAGGGGTAATTACAATTAATACATTTTATTAAGATACTAATAAATTACAAAATAAAAGAAATATAATTAAAATCATTAACTTACAGAGATATGTTTTTCCTTTACTGGTACACAGTTGATAATAACACAATGTGCAAAAAAAGAAAACGATGAATAGCAATTCACACATATAAGTAATCAAAACTCTATAAAGAATAAAACACTCTAAAAATAACTCTTAGCCTGTCGTCCCGTAACGTAAAATATCTCGTGATAAAAATGCTCTCTCAAAAATGTCGTGTCATATTTCTCTAGTCTATTCTACTGATGCATCTGGGACAGCCTTGCGCATTGTTTTTCTTTCCAGTTTTCTCCAGATTGTTCTAAAAAAATCGTATAGATAAAGACTATTAATTTTTTTAGGTGAAAAGACTATGGTTTAGCTAAGCCACACCTTAAATGCGATTTTGAGCTTTTTTGTTCTCTGCTAGAGTTCACAGCACGAGAAAATTTGACGTAAACACGTCGTCTACATAACACCGAGTATGTCCGATGACTGTACACGTTATCTCATATCCAGTACGAAAATGCATAGGTTTCATTTGAAATAAACACAACATGATGTATGTTGGATGTTTTAATACAACTCTTTAAATGCACTGCTTGTATGTTGATATTTAATTTTTTTTTTTTAATTTACTCTTTTGTTAACTTCATTTCCTCTTTAGTGCCTCCGTTATGTCTGTATCCTGTCTGCATCTAGACCCTATCCTGTCTTAATCCCGTCTCTATTATGTGTCTAGCCTGTCCCCGACCTTTCTCTACAACTTCATTATAATTCTCTATCCTGCTTTTAACATGTCTAAATTATGTCTATGTTCTGGCTTAATCTCATATTTATCTTGACTCTATTCTGTCTCTGCAATAACTCTATCCTGCCTCTAACATGCTTCTATCCGGTCACGCTCATGTGACTATACTGCTATATTCTGCCTCCACCATGTCTCTGTACTGCTTCTATACTATCTCTGCCATGTAATTATTCTGTTTCTATAGTGTCTTCGGCATGTCTTTATACTGTCTCTATCTTGCTTCCGCCATGTCTCTGTACTGTTGCTATCTTGCCTCTACCTTTGTCTTGTGTAATGTCCTACTGGCTACCACAGAATGGGGCATCATGGGAGACTTCTCTGACTCTGAATAAATCATTGTTAAATTTACCACAGTATGTCCTTATGTGACTGTTTGAACTCCATTTTATAGTAATGCATAACCAAAAACAACAACAACGCTAGTTATCACACAGACTATAGCTCTACATATTATGCTTAGATGTAAATATGAAATACAAAGTTAAATGCTTTTATGATTTGTATATTTTTCCAAATCAAAAGTATAAAATCAATGAGATGTGTTATGGTCTAAGATGTCTCGCCATGTAAAACTGTCATCACTGAGGAATTGGGACAGTTTTTGAATATTCCGGCGTAGAATTTGGTCAGTAAAGTCTTGGTTTCCAGCCAAATGTTGCCAAGATCTTTCTTCCTGTTTGTCTGGTTGATCCATGGCTTCTTGGCTCAGCTGAGCTGGGGTGATGAGACCATACAAAAAGGATATTCTTTCAGGATATTCATTTCAAATTATAAAATAGACAACAGTACCGTAATCTCTGCCCTCGGAACTTGTGTAGTAACCCTCGAGTTAAGATATAAAAAAATTATAATGGAGTTAAAAAACAGCTTAAAAATACTTTAACAAAATATTATCTTGACAACGCAACATCTTTATACAAAACGATAGTAGGCAGATACACAAGCAACTTTCCAACTACCCAGGAATATTACCTAATATTACCTTGATCCCAATACATCTCTATACAGAACGATAAGAGAAAATGACTCGAGCAACCTACCAACACCCAGTAAATCGTGCACACGCCTCAGGGTCGAGGCAGGATCAGAACTGTAGGTCTCGTAGCGAAGAAATAAGAACTGGTCTCTCGGAAATCTCTTGAACCACTCCGCGATGTGCACGTGATAGAGACCAAGCTGAAGGCGAGCTCTGTCCTGCGGCAGACGAAGACCCTGGCTTTAAATCAATATCAAACTTTAAGACAAGATTCTTTCTATTTTAATTATATTTACAACGCAATGTCATCGCTGTAGGACCGGCCCAGCCTTATTTAACAGCTAAGAAATAATGCAAGCCAAAAGCCCAGTTGTCGCCGAACCTATGGTTACAATCACAAAATGCAATAAAAATTTCTCGGGCCAGGCGTGAAAAATG